GCAGTAGTAGTAGTAGTAGTAGTAGCAGCAGTAGCGGCAGCAGCAGTAGTAGCAGTAGTAGCAGTAGAGGCAGTAGAAGCTAGTAGTAGTAGTAGTAGTAGTAGTAGTAGTAGTTGTTGTAGCAGCAGCAGCAGCAGCAGCAGGAGTAGTAGAAGTACGTAGAAGTAGAAGGAGAAGCAGAAGTGGTGGTGGTGGTGGTGGTGGTTGTGGTGGTGGTGGTGGTGGTGGTGGCGCTGCTGCTGCTGCTGCTGCTGCTGCTGCTGCTGCTGCTGTTTGTGCTGGTGCTGGTGCTGGTGCGGTGGAGGAGTCGCGGAGGTGGAACATCAATCAGTAATATCGTACAGTAGCAAAACACTGCCTTGGGATCGGCACTCCGAAGTCGCCTCCGCAGTTGCAGATGTCCGCCTCACAGCCCCAGGCCCGAGGTCTTAAAATGTCCTAAAGTGCTTCGACGCGTCCAATCTGAAGATTCACAGAGGAAGTGCTCAAAGAGTTCCTGGTTTCGGGCTACGGGCGTCGGTTACCCTCAAGACCTGATCTGTCTTCACTGATCTTCCCTGTCCCGAGCTTTTCGAGCACATGTTACAATCCGAAGTTGTACTGCGAATCACGCAGCCCCCTGTCCTGACCCGAAAGATTGGTGAAGCAAGTGTAGACAGGCTGGCATCTTGTTCCGGATGCGTTGACCCAAAAATAAACTTCAGCATGCGGCATTGGTTGAAATGAATTGCATGTCGTGGAAACCATCCTCGTTAGCGGAACCACTCTGGAGATCAAGACGTGCACCACTCCCAGGCCTTCTTATCAAAGAGCGAGGAGCCTAACCTGAGATGAGACGAAGCTAGTACCAGGAATACAGGAACCCACTAACATAATGAATGAGATGTTCCTGTCAGCAATGCCTTGATTCTAGGACCCCAGGACAGCAGGATACCGCACTATTCAGTCCAGGAGCCACTTGTACGACAGCTGCACGAAACTGCTCCACCATCCCCTGCTTCTCGTGGACCTTTCCCAGGGCCAGCTGGAGGGACCCCCCTGCTGCAGTGCCGGTGCTCGCCATAAGGCCTCCATGACTGTCGCTGGGTCATCTTGCATGAAGCCCAGCTCGTTCTACTTGAGACATTCTTGTCTTCAAAGTCTCCAGCTGGCACACTGCCTTTGGGATCTGAAATATTCGCCTGCATCAACCCAGTGCAACACAAGCTGTAGCCCCGCCTCTCCAATTCCCCCGGTGAAGGCGTGGCAGAAAATCTTCGCAAAGCATGTAGCGATGCAAGCCTCGTCAGACACAACTCCATAAGCTCACGAGGCTGTAAAGTTGTAAGGAACTTCTCACTGAATGCTGAACCGTGAATTCGAGAATATCAACATAACGGTTCGGTGCTTCGAGCGGTTGTTCACATGGGTAACCTTTACTGGCATGACCTTGTCTGAACTAAGGCGAATGGAGGGACCGTTGTAAACCTGATGGAGTTTCGAGGGGCTCTGTGATGAATGTATTTGCGAGACAAGTGAGCCGGAGGAATACGGCTTTATTCAACCTAAACTCCTTGTAGACCCTGAAGGAAAGCTCATAGAACCCATTGGCTGTGACCGGTCACCGCTGGGATTGATTTTTGGTCTCAGGCGCGGGACTGGTTGACTGTCTGGGCTTCTTACGGCTATAAGACTTAAGGCAACAGGTTTTTTTGTTTGACACCTCTTTTCTGTCCGCATGGTGCAACTGGTTGGACTGCCTTACAGGCTGAGGCAGTGGGCGAGGGACCGGGCTTAGAAGGTAAGGAGGTTTAGGCTTCAAGGTCTAGGCTTTATGTAGCTGCGGGTTTTAGGGCTTCATGCTATGTGGAGCCTGAGTTGTTCTTTAGAGTGCTCAACCAAAAGCATCTAAACATGAGGGTCCTACACTATCTGAGGGAAATACCGACGTAAGGGGATTCAGAGTGTCAGTATGTACGGCTTGTTAAGGTCTTACCCTGAACCCGAAGCCTTAAGCCACGATTCATTCTAGCTAGCCAATGCAGGCTTGCAAGAAACTTCGACGGATGGCACTTGCTCAATGCTCTTGAGTTGTGGCTTGGGTTGTCGGGCACAAGCAGCAGCCGTTACTGCATCTACAGTGGCGCAGAGGAGCGTACCTTTATCTTACCACCTACAAAGGTTCGTAGATGCGGTACCTTAGAGAATTCGGCCATCATCTGTCAGTGCAACAAGCTTGTGAAGGAAGGCAGGAAGGATGTCTGATTTTGTCGCAGAAGTCGGCAGCGCATGTTGGATGACATCCTCCTAATCTGATTCCTGGGAGCCCCCAAAACCCCAAGCATAAACTCTTGAAGGCAACAATGGGCTTGGCTTTAATAGTTTACGTTTATCCGCTGCTAGGTTTCTTTCCTCTAATTAGATACCAGAATCCCAAGCCTGGTCAGGCGGCGCCGCGCGAGAGCAGAGCTCATGGCATCGGACTGCAGCCACTCCGAGGCTGCAAAGGAGCGTCGCGTGTCCACTGTAGATCTAGAGGTGGGGACGCGGTGAGGCTCGAATCTGCTGAAAAAACAGGGCTGTTGCGGCCTACGGAGACCGGTGTCGGGGTCATGGGTTGTCGCTTGCCAGGGGAGCGCGCCAAATATGTTGGGCGTCCGATAGTAACTCTTTGCTGCGGGCATTTTCATATTTCTCACATGGCGGCTCATGCCAGCTTCGGGCAGATCCAGGGCACAGTCCAAACACAATGCTCACTCGATGGCGATGCTGTGTTTGCAGAAGCATTGTGCACAGCGTCCCCTGAATGGAAAACCTTGCATCTTCGTGCAAAGCTTCAGCAGGTTGCATTACAAGGCTGTCCAAAATGATCCTGTGACATACTGACGAGTCAACCTCAATCTGCAGGTGCAGTTCTGGCCTAGTCACATCGGCAGTGTGACCTCACGCCGGTGCAGCCATTTTGGCAAATATCGCTGCTTTGAGACATTAAGCAAATGACTGTGGTCCACAACCTTTGCGTGGCACCAAGTCGCGCAAAACACATGCCATACTACTCAAGCCCAAGAGCGGAGCACATGGAGGAGCTGACACGTTTGCGTTTAACCAGCCCTGTGCCAAACAGCCAGAGCCCAGGAAGGGCAACAATGTCTGATTTCAGTTCTTTTGGTCGTTTCATGGCACTGCATAGCACAGTATTTAAAATTCAGCGACTGGACTGGACAGCATGCCACAGGGAAGCTTCTGCGCCGTGGATACCGATCCAGTCTGGTGGAAAACAGAAGTTCTGATCAGGATGCTCCAGCTGTCTCGGACTTAAACATGACAAAAGAACAGCTTGTCGAAGAAACAAGCCTACCCCAGTAGACCTCATCGATAAGCTCGAAAAGCGGTAGCTTCGGTTCGGCTCACGTCGTTCAGGCTAGATGCCTTTTGGAAGACTTCCACACCGAGCTTTGCACCCAACATAGCTGAACCTACATGCTAACAGACTCCTTCTTCTGGCCTGTGTGAAAAGTCATGGACATGATCAGAACCCAAAAGAATTCGGACAGGGCCAGCTTAGCCTTGGTTCCTCTTCACTTCCATTACCCACTTCCACAGGAACGACCTCAGCACGCAGCAACTCAAGGGATTCCTCGCCACGTATTTGCCCATCAGAGTTCACAGGCGAGTGCGAGTTTACTGCAGTGCTGTGCAGGTGCTAAGCCGCAACAAAATGCATGCAGCTGGATCTCCGGCAGCAGCATTGTATCCAGCTTGAAGATCAAGTAAAGGCACACGCATGCTGCAATCGAAAATGGCTCATGCAAGAGATTCAAGCGGTCAGTCGCTGGCCTCCGCCACATGTCGTGGACAGGCATGCACATCCACTGGGCGAGGCTGGATGCTTGCCGTTCTGTTAAGGGTAGCTTGCTTGAAAACTGTGTTCATGGTTATCGTAGTCGTTTCAAGCGAGACATTTGGGCAACCGCGATCAGTACTCAACAGCGTTCAGCTGGACACTCTCACACTTACGCACCCAAGGATTTTGTTCCGAGCATTGCCATCACTGGACATGTGCCACTGTACATGCTCAGACGTTGCTGACTCCCGTTCATTTTTACTGTTACCGATCCTGATACCGATTGCAAGAAGCACCTATTGTTCTTGCTGCACAGAGTGGCTTACTTTTGCTCCAATTACCTTGTACTACTAGCATTTTCCACTGGAGCTAGGGGTGCTGCTCGGCAATTTGACCCGAATATCTTGCAAGTACACTTGCCGATTCAAGAAGTGCACACAGGACCCACCCTCCCCTTCCTGACTTATCGGCCGACGCAAAACCCGAAACCCAAATCTTGCTTCCATTGGTTGACAGAACCGCCTTACTGTCTGTCGCACTGTCAACAGGTGTGGTCAACAACTACTGGCAAATAGCAATCCTCATCATTGAGGAAGGCAAGAAGGCTCGATTTATGACGTGGTGACTATTACAATCATCTCTTCGATCTGAGCTCCCGGCGTATGTTGTGAAAGGATAGCCCACCCACGAGATGATGAGGAGGAAGACCTGAGCATAGGATTCAGCAACTGGCTTCAACGCGGCTTCGAATGATTGATGCTTAGCCGACCTGATGCACAGATAAGCATGCACGTTTGCGCTCCCAATGGTTGTTGGGAGTGGCACAATCTAAAGCTGCTTCAATGCTCCCAAGGTGTGTGCCAAAGCATCGTGGATGCCAAAGATAATCGCCTCAGGCGGTGGGCGGCATGAGTCACATCACAAATCTGGAGTGTGACGTGATCCTGTCTCACGCAAAGGCTCCTAGTCACGGCAATAACTTTGAAAGAGTCGGCTTCCAACACATGACAAGAAAGCTTCCCTAATTTAATCCCCCATAAGCCCCCAAACAGGGGCAAAGCTGCAGCCCGCTTTGAGATGCGAACGTATACCAGGTATGCCACACCGCAGGCGAAGACGAGCCACGTTTTCTGCAAAACATCGGCTGTGCGAGGCTCCATTCGTGAACATTTGTTCTGCATGCGGCACGCACTTGTTGGCCTAGTCTACAACTTCAATAGACCTGGATCTCACCCGTTCGACCTTGAAAACGTAGAAGAAGCTCAAATTCTGCTGGACTTCTTTCTCCACAGCATCCTTGCAGCCAGAGCGTGTGCTCGAAATTATCGGTCGTAGAAGAGGAAAGGGCGGAGAGCCACTGGCGCCCGAAGCAAGAAGACCATAGTCTAGTCGTCATACATCAGATAAGCAATGAACTCATACCAACCGTAATTACTTGTAAACGTGTCAAACATCAGAAGCACGAAACGGAAGCAGCAGCAGCAGCAGCAACAACAACAACAGTACGACTTCTGTTAGTGAAAGCTGCTCGCTACCCGGCTTGTCCTGCGGCTGCCAGTTCTGCGTTCCAGTCACCTCTCGCACGGAATGACAAGACTTTGCATGTTAGAATGGACCTACGTTTTAAGTACGTTTTGGGGTTCACCTCTGCATTCGGGCAATCTCGAGCTCAAAGACCCTCAACGTCAACGTAACATCTCTTACACCGGACCTCTAGCGCCGGACAGCCGTTTAAAAGCCCTCATGTCAGATATCCGCAAGAAAATGGCAGACACACCAACCCATGCAGCAGCAAGGCACACCTTTTGCATGGTGGATGGGTGTGGCCCAGATTGATCTCAGCCGAGGGGGCGCCCTTGTCCACGGTCCACGGCGATGACGCGTTGCCGGCAAAGCTGGCACGCCCCCTTGCGCTTTGCCATCTGAGCGAGCCCAATCCGCAAAACACATTAGGCACATGAGCTTCGCCTCGCTCTGCCCCGGGTCCAGGCGGTGGCTGCTGTGCCCGATGCCTTGGCGCTTGTAGCTGTACTCCCACCGAGAAGAGGCGGCCCTGCTGCAACTGCTTCTTGTAGATCTGGTAGACCTACAGGACCCTTGCCATGGCTGCTGCCTGGGTCCAAAAATCTTTAGGTTGGAGAAGATCTCGGTTAGCTCCGCCTGGGTGGGCTGCTTTGCTTGGTCTGCAGCTCGCTTGCTGATACATGAGAAGTCTGTGGGGAAGCCCTCGAGGAAGTAGAGTAAACACCAGGGGCCAACCACCGCAGGCTGCTCCTCCAAGGTCATGGTGATATGTGAAAGGTCAATGGGCGGCTGGGCCGCACCCCCTCAGGGACAAAGTCGCCCGCAAAGGGCACGGCCGTGGCCCTGGGTCTCCATGTCCCCTCGAACCGGCTCCGAAAGGCCACCTGCATCTCGGTGTCCTTGGCGATCTCGACCACACTGACTGGGTCGTCCCTCATGACCAACTTGGCCATGGCCATGTCGATGGCACCTTTGTCCTGCAGCTTCTTCCATTCCTGATGAAAGTCACGATCCTCACGTGGCTGTGGGATGCTGTCCACGGCCTCCATGCTGAATGCCACAGCTTCCGCGGAGGAAGGTGCCATGATCCACGGTCGCGATGAGAGAAAGGGGAGCGAAAGCTGGTAAAATTTTGAGGGACCAGAGGTCCCTGCAATAGAGCCAAAATCGCAGATCCATTTTGGCAGACGTCTCCAGACGTAACTCTTGCGATTCGGCAGGCTCGTAACAGTAATGAAGATCCGCCCCGGACCTTGCACCGTCCAGAGTCTAGTCTAGTTGTTCTGAAACACTCAATCAAGCTTGTCGAAACTGTACCTCCAAGCGCAGTCCTGCCTGGGCCCAGGATCCACGGACGAGGCGCACGACCCCGATGATGAGCTCAGGGCCTGGGCAAGTTTCTGAAACGGTAAGCAGGGTTACTAATTGGGCGGGGTACTAGACTTGTGCACTTGCTTGGTGGGCATGAGTGGTAAGGAGCCTTTGCCTTGTCCTGCCTTGCGATCATGAGCTGCCGGCTGAAGAGCAGGATCGACAGCAAGATTTCGACGATGGCGAGAGCCATCTGCCTAAAGCGAACGGCAAGCGTTTGCAGAACCCAGCTGGGCTGGGGAAGACGTCAGCCTCATGAGCACAGAACATCTTCCGAGCTTCTCCTGGAAGGCCGACGCAAGCATGAAGACTGATACAGGTGTACACGCACATGTGCGTTGACATTTCAATGTAGCTGCTCTGGTCGGCCAGGGCCTCCTCCCCCTCCATGTCGGAGTCGGCATCAGAGTCCTAGCGGGACTCCAATTCCTAAGATGCGGGCCTAAGGAACAAAGATCAACAGTCAGCACATGCCAGCATATCTCCGAATCACGTACCGTCGTCGTTGTCGTCGGTTGGTGGTTGTTGGTTGGTAGTTGGTCGCCGATAGCAGTAGCGACGCTGGTGCTCGTGATGGTGCTGAAAGTCGTCGTCTTAGAGGGTGCTAGTAGTAGTGGGAGCAGTAGTGATACTGGTGGTGGGGCGGCGGCGGCGGCAGTAGCAGTAGCAGTAGCAGTAGCAGTAGCAGTAGCAGTAGCAGTAGCAGTAGCAGTAGCAGCGGCACTAGCAGTAGCAGTAGCAGTAGGAGTAGTAGTAGTAGTAGTAGTAGTAGTAGGAGTAGGAGTAGG